AGGTGAAATCGAAAGGAGACTGAAAGAAATGCTGAATGAAATGACTATGCACAGGGAAATAAAAAAATTGGCTATGAATTCACTCATACGAAAGGATGCAAGAGCCACAATGACATACGGTTTTCAGATGTTACACAGAAGGAGAACCATAGAAAATGATAGTCAACGAAAAACACGAACCGACACATAAATTGGCGAAATTTATCTGCTTTAAATTAAGGAAAATGAGTGACACATTATAGAATACAGTGAAGAAGTCATACGATTTTTGCTTGAAAATCAAAGGCTTCCGTTTGGAAGGAAGCGAACTTTTGGTGAGCTTTGATGTACAGGAGAAAAAGCACTCACGGGACTAGTGGAGATCTTGGAAAAAGAAGATGACATCCTGGATACGGAGTGAATCCATAAAGGGTCTCCAACCCGAGTAATCAACCTAACAATGGGAACTGCCTAGTTCACATTCAGTAGCCGCTTCTGAGAAAATATTTGATTTGCCCATGGGCTAACCACTTTCACCTCTTTTGTCTGATGTCTACCTCGACAAGTTGAAGGAGAATTGCAAAGTGTCACTTCAGCAGCCGGCAGTGATTATGCGATATTTGGCTGACTATTTCGCAATCTAGTCGCATGAAAGAGAAAAATTAGACGATTTTTCGATCTTCCTAAACGAAATGAATGAAAAAGTCAAATTTACCATGAATGTAGAAGAGAACGGACACTTGTCTTTCACGGGTATGGAGGCCATTCGCTCCGAGGAGGCTAGCAAGAAACGACTTTTACGAAAGAAATCACATTCTGGAATAGCTCTTTACTTCCAACCTGACCATACTTAAGGAATGAAGATTGGAATACTGAGGAGCATGGCCATAAGAAGCATACGAGTCACTGATTGTGAGTTCTGGGAAGAGGAACGAGAAAAACTATCTCGGATGCTTCTTGGAAACGGATATCCAGAAGAAGCAATACAACGCAACAAGCGGATGGTGATGGACACATGGAAGAAGGCAGATTGTAAAAGGAAAGCAAGGAAATAAGAGTAAAAACGATGGATGTCTACACCCGTGCAAAGTGGCCCGGAAGCTGCGGCCGATACTACTGAAATGAAATATTTGTACCATCATGAAGGGAAGATCAGCCATTTTCACCAGCTTGCTCACACCACAGAATGAAGTCAACAAAATAGAGTACTCCGGAGCTTATAGCATAAAAAAACACAAAAATGCATAAGCAATTATGCATAAAAATGGATACGGAAAGATTGCAGATAGCCGAACACATCACCCTTATCGGCCGCCCAACTGACTGGCCTCGCATGGGGAGAAACCAGAAAAATGTAAGATCGGCAAGGCTGTGGACAGCATCTTTCGAGAAAACTAGACGAACAAGAGATTGGAAAAGGGATGAGAAAGCGATAATTTCGTGTATTGCTTGGGCAGATTTGGAAATTCAGGAAGGGCAGCCAAAAAAAAGACGTTTGGACCAACCTCATATATTCAACACCAGCAAGCGACGCAACCAATAACAGAATCATGAGGGACAAAGGAAAGTAGAGAAAAGACTAATTCAAGTCTGGAATCGCCAAAAAATGCGCCCAGGAAGGGGTCCATTTGTGGGATGCGGTTTATGAAATTAAGGGCAAAAAGTATAGGTTGTCAAGATAAAGGTCACTAATGTGTGCTTGTGTGCATTATTTGTGCGCATGCCTTAATGAGCAGCGTCTGGTGACACGCTTGAAAACGGGGGATACAAATCAGCACAGACATGGCTAAAATTCTAGTATCCTAGGAGTAGATGAGACTGCCAACTTGAGAGACAAGAGGAGTGTGCTTTTCATGATCCAGGAGGGAAAAAGGGAAGCTGGTCGTTTCCAGAACGGCCGTTATGACTTAAACCTGACGCGGGACCCAAAATAATGAGATATTTGGTGGGCGAGAAGAGAAAGAGGGTAACTAAATCATGAGTTTGGAGCCTAGTTAGAGGAAGATTCACGAACATCATCTATTCTAACACCCTGAATCTGGCGTTTTCGGGCACGGGAATTGAACGCTCTTAGGCAGCCAGATTTCAGACAGTCAGAAAGTGATGTTGTTGCCTAGCAGCGACCAAGTAGTGACAAGCGTGATAGGAAAAAAGGGCCCGAATGAAGGTCAAGAGGCCTTTAAACGGCACCTGGTACCGGTTGGGAGCGGCATCGGAGGAAACAAGAGCACAGAAATGTGTGAATAATTGGATGTGCCATATGAAATGGGGCTAAGAGCAAGAGATACAGTACCATAAAGTAGGAGAAAAATATGGGAGAGGAGTGATAATACAACAGTTGGACAGAAAATTGGTCAAGGAGATTACCTTCATTTTTATATATAAATATATATATATATGAAACTGTTATATATATATATATAATATGCCAGTCCTTCATCACCTTCATCTCATATTACTGATATACTGGTAGTTTCGAAACTCTACTCAAATAATAAAATAAGTAACGTATTCGATAGTTATAGCAAATATACGTTTGCTTCATCGGCAATCCCACCAAAGAATATGATATGGCAAAAGGTCCGACCTTCCCTGACATTCACATATGTCCTGTGACCCAAGGGAACTCGTGGAAATGTGGTCGAGTGGTTAACGTATCAAGTTCTTATTCTGCACTGTCATGGTTCGAATCCCGCTGGGTGTGTTGATAAGGCGGATGCGGGGTCGAAACTGCAGTCCACTCCAAACGGGATGAGAACAACTTTTGGCAATGTGAAATTCAATGGGAAACGTCAGCTCTATTCATATCATTGTATGAAACTTAAACGAAATAGGGTGAATACCTCTCATATAATATATGCAGTTTATGCTTTTTTTGGATGAAATTGTATCAGAAAAGGTACCGCTTGAAAGGTCATAACTCAAGATTGGTTTGCGCTTATCCTCTTTGCTCGGCTCTATTAGTTGCACGGTTTGGCTCTGCTTTGTTGGACATTCATGGTCACGATGGCATAGCCGAGATCCCCTAACTCATTGTAGATCTGGGTATAACCGTGCTTTAATAGCATCGCCATGTCGAACCAGACACCCTGTCCCGCGTCTTCGGACAACAAACTTGTATCTTCTTCCAGCATCAGGTTTGAAGAAGATTTGTTCACTTGTCTCAGGTTGATGACATTAAAATCATTTTTGCTTATTTTCAAATGTTCGTTTCATTAATCTGCATTTATTTACAGTATACATAAAAATGACCACAGTAGCAGTTGAATCAGAGATAGAATCTTGAATGAAAATTGCCTAATTGGGTATGAGTAGTTTTATTATCCTAAAATTGCCTGCATTTAGGCGATACAACCTCATCAAATGTCGAATTTGCACAGAGCTCTTAGCGAATGTATAAATGAACCTGGACTTTGAATGTTCACTTTGTGTGTTAGTGTGACTTACTTTTCAATTCCAAAGGAAAATTTGGTTGGAGACAATTCGTAAAATGTAAACCGAAGAAGGATTTCTGCTGAATGAAGACTGTTGTATTACGCCAAAAAGTACTCGACTCACCGTCCTGCAATGCCTATCAAGCCGTACTATGCCGGCGTCTGTACGCCGTGGCAGACTTCACCAGAGCGAAAGGGCATATATTTTACAAAATGGCCCGACAATTTACAAAACAATGACAAGATGACGTCTTCACACAATCCAACATTCTCTAGTCCGCCGAGGTAATCCTCATTTGCTGTCTGGTAAGACCATTTCACCAATTCCTTCCAACAAATTAATCTTGCGAAACGGAAGCTCGAGCCACACTAACTCGCTAAGGGAGGTTTCGAAGCCCAACTTTTATTCGCATATACGGAGGAAAAATGCGAATAAGTAAAATAGAGAGCTTGCAATTACTGCTCTATTTTATAAAAGATGCTGAACATTTGGTGGCACATCTTTGATTGGGAAAGACCAAGTTCGATAGGTCCTCCCAAAAACGATCCCAAGCCACAATCTTTACCGAGTCGGATAGGAATTTTCTCGTCTCAAAGAACCGGCAATAAGACAAAACGGAGACATTTCATTACAAAAAATCCAGAGGCTTAGGTCTACTTCCGAATCACGAGAAAGGACTGAATTTAGTGGACTTTTCACTTCTAGTCGAAAACCTGCCTTCGCGTCTGAAAGTCACCCTCAATAAGGAATATATTAGATGGACTGTACGAAGGAATTCAATGCCATCACCGCAAAAATATAAGAATATCAAGCTTATAAAAAAAAGAAAATTGTGTTTAGTCGCCTGATATTTGTTTTGGTGAAAAATTATTTGACAATGAAATATAGTGAGTATAATTTAGTGTATATGCACACAAAAGCTGACATTTTAAGAGCCATCAATCAGTTATTGTGACATTAAATTTTATTTTTACGGAAAATTTGGTTGGGCGAAATTCTTGAGTTGGTCTCACCGGAAACCGAAGGAATATTGCCTGTTGGATTGTGTAGTTGTGTGAATCACCGGGGTAGCAGGACAGTGAGCTAAAGATTTTTTCGGCACAATCCAACAGTCTTTACTCAAAAGCACTCATTCATTTTTTGACCAATTTTTGCTTTAAAATTAAAAGTTATGTAAAAAATATACTTGAGCATGTCACTCTGGTGCCGACGCCTCGCGCTACTATCGCATATGGCGAGCTAGTGGGACTTTGATGGAGTTGAAATTTTAGTGAAGTCCATTATGGATGTAAAAAATATCTTTGTGGACAACGCC